TTTGCAAACAAATCTCATCTGTTTCTATTTCAGTAAAAGCTTGTGTTCAAGTAAAATTCAAAAGATTCCAGCTGCAAGCCAAGGTTTGGGTGTGATAGGGATAACAACTCCCCTCTTTCAGTTAAATCAGTAACTTTCCTACAAATATTTTTAAAATAGACTTGGTTTCCTCCCAGTTTCTATCAACATCAGGACTCACACTGAAGTAGTCATTTCTCTCCTTAAAGGAACGGGCTGTTCAAATAACGAGGATCTGCACTTAAGATTTAATCTTTTCTAGCTCCAGGAGATAAAAAGAAAGAAAAGTGTAAGTGGCAGCAGATTCTCGGCTGCTGTAAACTGCCAGAACTCCACTAATTTTAATGGAGCTTTGCACCAGCCAACAACTTGCCTCTTGCTACACCAGCCAGACACAATGGGATCCAAGGTCTCCAGCGTCTGCTAGACACAGTCCTCCCCTCCTTAAATTGCATCAAACTGGGGAAGCCCTGGGATTTAAATGGAGAAAGACTGCTTTGAGCCCCTTGCACTACGTTTCCCAGGAGCTTCCCCATCAAACAAGCCTTCATTCCCCTCTTTATGGGTGTTCCGGACAGGGGGAAAAAGGCAGCGATAAGCTCAGCTGGCTCCCCGCAGCACAGCAGACAAGGACTGTGCTGCTCTCCTTGGTTCACCTGGCAGCTGTTTTGCATAGCACTGGCATCAGATCTGGTGCGAGTTTGCCTGGGGAGGTTTCTCTGGGGATGGGAGCAGCAGAACAGTTCCAGATGCTTCCCCCCACCCGCTGCTGTTCCCCCCACCTGGAACGCACCATTTGCTCTGAAAACCAAAGACAAGTGCTCTATCAGAACCGACACGATTCCCACTGGAAGCCGCCGAGCCAGTCCGCCACTTGAGGATAAAAGCGCCGTAATGGGAGAAAAGTAAAATCAAGATTGCAGTGTGCCTTCATCTTCGCAAGGCAAACACATGCAGCAACATGTAGATGTCACCCACGGGGAGTGACAGCCGCTCGTGGCTTTTCGCCCGGTGACAAAACAGGGCTGCAACCAGAAGGCTAACGTTATCCCCCTTCCCACCCAACTACACACTTAATTCACCTCACAGTTTGAGCTCAGCTGCACAGAAGGGACAGGGAATTAGAAGGTGATTTCAATCTTTAACAGGTGTTGGGGAATTCCCACAGGGAATCAGTTTTCTGCCGCGTGCATTTGGGAGGAAAATTCAGAACAGCTGAACGGCGATGGAGGAACAGTGCCAGGCAGACACCAGGCAGGGGATTCAGCTGCCTGGGCTTAGATGTCTAACTTTTAGGTGCCTAATTCTGAGCCAATTGCTCTAGGCTCCCTTTACAGCCACAGAGAGGAAGCAGGTGCTTCCAGAGGGCAATTCATCTCGCCCCCGAGATAGACGGCAGAGAGATGAATCACCTTCTGGAGATACCTATTTTCATCATTGACTGTACAAGGAGCCTGGGGTGAGTAGGTCAGACTTCAGCCTCAAAGTATTGAATATCTAAAATTAAGATTAATCTCAGCTATCCTGAAGATTTTAGCACTCCAGTTGTAAAGCACAATGCCATTAGAGATTGACAAAGCAGGCCAGATGCAGAATGCTTTTCAATGTACATTTTCTAGAAGCTGAGAAATTAACTTGTTCATATTAACTGAGACAAGAATCAAATCTCTCACCTCAAACAATGTGTGAAGTTAAAAGATTACCCAAGAGCGGGTAAAAGAGTGGCAACAGTTATTATAACTATAAACAATACGTGACCCACATGCTGTAAATGAAACAAATGCTCACCTGCACTGAGAATGATGTGGTTCTATTAAGCAAAAAAGATATTCAGCATCAAATACACTCCTCAGGATTTCAATTCACTTCGGAGACTCAAGCAAATACCAAGTCTTAGCCCTCATGCTACTCTTCCCAGCAGTCAGACCAGCAACTTCTCCAGAACTAGCAGGAAAAGCCCCGGGGTGGTAGGAGCTCACTTAAATCACCTTCTCTCCATTCTAGTGTCCAGTGGCACTGGGGAGCAGAAACTGAAGCTGAGCAGACACCAGTCAGTTCCCTGGATCCTTATGTGCCCTGCTGGGATGCTCGTTGTTCCCAAGGCTTACCTTAAGAAGTGCTTTTTAAAGGGAGTAGGGGAAAGCGTGAACAGGATGAGGAGTTTTGAGGCAGCCAGATAGGGCTGCAGTTTTTGTGTTAACCGTTTGCTCTAAAGACACAAACAGACCAAACCGGGG